TATCATCAGGCCGCATTACCTCTACTCATGGGTGTGAAGTTTTTTAACAGGGCGCTCAGATCTGGTCAGTGTATGAAATTAATAACTGGGGATGTCTAATTCTGAAATACTGTGTGTTTGGGTTGTTATAGATACTGCAGCATCCATCCATCCTGATTTCTCCCTTTCTCCATATAGGGTAACATTTGATCTTTCACGCTCTCCTTAGTTCCCCTGTGGCGCGAGCACAGGGTGGCTGTTACACGCCTTTAGTGAGCATGCGCGTTTCCTGTTGCTTGCGCGGTGAACGTGCCGACTGCGCTGTCTGGAGATGCAGGGGAAGCCGTATCTGATTGGGAAACGCAGCTCGATGTAACACCAGTATTTCCATCTGGAAAATGCTGTTTTGCTGCTGGAGTCCTCCTCACTTTCCATCTCTCTGTGTATGCTGTACGTTAACAACCGCCAGCGAAAACACCCACCTACCCAACTGACAGACGGAATCTTACTATACATCAGCAAATCTTATCCTCCACGCTCTCATCACAAGGCGCGCAAGTCCTATCATGAAAAAAAGGTTCATGGTGAGACCTGAGTAACGTGCAGTAACGTGGTGTCGGCAATGGTAACTGCGTTATAAAGTAATTAGTTAGATGGACGGGGGCAGGGAGCCAGCTTGGGACGGAGCGACCAAAGCCGACCCTACACTGGTGGTAAGGCAGGCGGAGGGAAGCATAACGTCATCGGGTTGGGTTTGGTCGCTCTGTCCCTTTCCGCCGGGGTCCCCGGACCAGCCCCGGAGCTGATGGCTCAGTTTGAATGCCCAGTCCAGACCAGTTATGCTAGCATTACTATCAACAGCTTAGCAGCAGAATCATACTTCCAGCTTGTGGTTGTAAAATTGCCTGCTTTGTAATTCTTGTAGAAGTAAATCCAACGATAGGCTAAACTGGTGTCTTACATCTACCTCTATTCATGTTCTTGGGCCAGTGAACCAGTGGGCTGGACTGTATGTCAATTTTGGGGTGTGACAAAAGTACAGGCCAGAACCACATAAGGCAACATCCCTGAATTGACATCAGTTCGGTGCTTCATTTGGATTCACACGTTTTATGGTAGAGAAATCCCATGCGAGAAATTTGTAGAGAAAGGTGTCGATGGGGTTTGAACTTCTCTGTACATCCATTTCACCCATTGAACTAGGGTCATTCATCTATGACAACTGAAACTCTGTTTTGCATTCTATGACCCCTTTAAATTAGGTTGGGTCCGGATCTGGACCACAGTCTGCTAATCCATTACCTCTGCTCTAGG